AACAACGAACTTTGGGGCGGATAGAGTGAGTCGATTTACGCCAACAAAAGTATTTCTCAAACAAAACCACCTTTAATCTGCAAAACACACAATATATATATATATTTTTTTTTTTTTTTTTTTTTTTGCAGAATTATTGAGTTTCCAGTTGAAATGTTTTGAACACTGGTGTTCCACAGGGTTGTGTGCTATTGCCACTTTTATTCTCTATTATACAAAAATGAGTTGCAACATAACAGCAAAGACTTCACATTAAGTATGCTGATAATCGGGGGCGAGATGGTGTAGGGGCAGGGCAGCTGACTCGGGACCGAAGGTCCCGGGTTCGATCCCCAGTCATTGCACATCTTGTGGTGCCTCTGAGCAGGACACATTATCCCCAGTTGCTCCACCTGGTGGTGGATGGGTTAAATGCAGAGAGCCAATTTTGCCATTGTATGGGAACATACAATGATGGCAATACATACACATTATTATTATTATATGGTCCTAGTTGCTGGTCTGAAATGCATCAATAGCCCCTCCTACTCCCAGCTCATAGATCAGCTCTCTGATAGTGTCAGAAGACTGATGGTCCCTCTAATGAAGAAAAATGGGTACAAAATGTCATTTGTTCCCTCTGCTGTGAGTAATGGGTTAGGGATGGGGCCGATCCGATCGGGTATCGGCCTCCGATACCAGCGTAATTTACATATCGGATTTTTCCAATCCAACCTGCAGAGATTTCTGATCCACGATGCATGTCTGTGTCTGCTGAAACATCTCATGTGATTCCCTGCCGGCTGCTCTGCAAGTTGGCATCAAACTATGGAATGGATTTCGTGAATGGAGGTGTGTCTCATGAAACCCAGAGTAATAAGACCCGCCTCACATTCAGGAAATCCAATTCACAGTTTGCAGCCAGCTAAAATGTGCAGTAGCAATGTGGCTAACGGCTAACCAACTTTTCATCTAAACATCCGCTGTGTGGAAGTATTTTACACTAGAAACACCACAAAGCAAGACAGCAACGTGCAATGTCTGCAGAGCCATAGCACCACATGAAACTGTGGTAAAGTTAAGTTTTATGTAGGACATTCGAGCTCCGTGGCTTCAGCGGTGCACTACTCTCACTCAGCCTGTCTCGGAGGAGGGGCAGACTGAGCGCGACTTACTGAAATCAGATTGCCTTCTCCGGACTGAACAAGAAGAACACACAGCTGAAACCACGGAGCTTGAATGTTTACAGAGAAGTTGCTAAACGTCATCGTAATTAATGACCAACTACTATCAGTTGTAAAAAAGGAAGGATTTCGCAGCTTGATACTTGCAGCCAATATATAGTTTACTCTCCAGGAGATGTTTATCAGTACAACAGTAGACAATCATAAAAAAGCATATGAATTGAAAATTACAAGACAATATTTAAAAAAACTAAACAAAAACAGCTACATTATAAAGCGATGTAAAATACTAAAAACAGGAACATGTCTGTGTTGGTTTATTCCATGAAATTAGCAGATGTTTAAAGTCATTTAAAAAAAAATTTAATTCACTCATTTAAAATAAATAAAACCATAAAAAAAAAAACATTGAATGAAAAGAGTGCAGAAAGAAGAAAACAAATCTTATAATATCTGCCCCTTATTAAAAAAATAATAATAACTTAAACAGTCACTTAAATTAATCACCTTAATATCCACTTTAAAGCTAGGAATAAAAAAAACAACATGTTTTGTGTTAGGATTTAATTCTAACTTTAAAACTTATACAACATTAATAAAACTTACCTCATGTTGCCTTTTTGGACATGCATGCATATATTTGTACAAACTGTAGAGAGGAGATTATTACAGCCTCATATAAAATCAATGATGATGACGATGATATTGGGACGGTATCAGTCGATATCCAGATTTGGGGATCGGGATCGGAAGTAAAAAAACATGTGGATCAGTGCTTCCCTAAAAAGGGTCCTATTTAAATGCAGCCTAACATGACAAATAATTGTCTGCTGGTATGCTTTTATTTTTTTTTATTGGGTTAGCAAAGCTTTTTAAATGTTTTATGACATTTTTAACTTGTGTTGTTTTTTATGAGCCAGGTGTGAAAGATCCATCACAATTTCATGGAATGTTATGGACAATAAAGTTATACTGAATTGAATTCCTAGCGAAAAGTATTATTTAATAATTTTTTATACAAACGGTTCCACTCACGGTCTCTCAGACGTCTCCGGTGTCTTCATAGAAGACTTGAGCCATGGCGAGCGCCACCTTGGCTATTTTTTTGTGCTTGGCGTCCGAACCCATGTTGACACGTGCGAGTCCGATCCAGTGCTGCTCTGTGCGGTTCTGGTAGGCCGTCACCGTCTCTCCTTCCTGCACGGCGGGGTGCTCCTCCTCCTCCTCGTCATCATCTGAAGATTCAGTCAGATAGAAAAGACAAAGAAAACGTTCACAATCAAAGTTTAGATAGCTGAGTTTAGATATTGAGCATGCATCAGGATATTTAGATAGCTTCAGCTTCTACTCTCCGAATTGTCAGTGTCACGTCGACATGTAACACAGTACATCTGTACACGGTACATCTGTACATGGTACATCTGTACATGGTACATCTGCACACGGTACATCTGTATACGGTACATCTGTACACGGTACATCTGTACACGGTACATCTGTACATGGTACATCTGCACACGGTACATCTGTATACGGTACATCTGTACACGGTACATCTGTACATGGTACATCTGTACATGGTACATCTGTACATGGTACATCTGTACACGGTACATCTGCACACGGTACATCTGTACACGGTACATCTGTACATGGTACATCTGTACACGGTACATCTGCATACGGTACATCTGTATACGGTACATCTGTACACGGTACATCTGTACATGGTACATCTGTACATGGTACATCTGTACATGGTACATCTGTACACGGTACATCTGTACACGGTACATCTGTACATGGTACATCTGTACACGGTACATCTGTATACGGTACATCTGTATACGGTACATCTGTAAACGGTACATCTGTACATGGTACATCTGTATACGGTACATCTGTACACGGTACATCTGTACACGGTACATCTGTACACGGTACATCTGTATACGGTACATCTGTACACGGTACATCTGTATATGGTACATCTGTACACGGTACATCTGTACACGGTACATCTGTACACGGTACACGGTACATCTGTATACGGTACATCTGTACACGGTACATCTGTATACGGTACATCTGTATACGGCACATCTGTATACGGTACATCTGTATACGGTACATATGTACACGGTACATCTGTATACGGTACATCTGTATACGGTACATCTGTATAAGGTATATCTGTATAAGGTACATCTGTACACGGTACATCTGTATACGGTACATCTGTATACGGTACATCTGTACACGGTACATCTGTACACGATTGTTCTGTTGGATCCACGGTCCTGATCAGAACCAAATCCCACAATCCTTCTGCTCCAATAACTGACAGCAAGGAGTCACTGAAGCTTTGCTACATGGAGGCGCCCACAGCTGGACTGTTGGACACCGACCGGAGAGCTTTTACACAAAATGTTTACACTTTTCACATCTGTTACCTTCCTCTTCCTCGCTGTCTTCCTCAGAATCCTCTTCCTCTCCTTGCGCTCCTTTGGTCTCTTCCTCCTCCTCTGACTCAGACTCTTCCAGCCACTCCTGCGTCTCTGCGGAGACAAACTCATAAATCAGGATGAAGACGGTGTTTTTTAGAGACGTTTCTAAAAGTATGTATTGTTAAAAGGTGGTGGGCGGGGCTAAATTCAAAGAAAAAGTTCTGAATTTCTGATATTAAATTTGCACAAAAAAAAAAAACCTTCCATGAATAACCATATTTACAAAAATAAAACTGATGTTTTTCAGTTTTATAAAGTTGTGAAATCATAAGAAAAAAATAAATATCTTGTTTTTCTCTGAATCTTTAACCATCAGCCCTAATCTGCCGCTGAACGATGGTGTTTCTGACAGGCTGACTCACTCGGGTCCATTTCAATCAGAACCTCCCACTGATCCATCTTGTGCAGGTCCAGGCAGTAGAAGTCACTCAGGGTGAACTGGCGGTCCCCCACCTCGAACATCCCTCCGTACAGGTAGAGTTTCCCCTGACGGACCGTTGCCATGGCGCTGGATCTCGGGCAGGGCTCCACCATTGGTGCCGAGGCAGAACCTGTCCAGCACAACAGAGAAATTACAATAATTTCAACTTTTTTTAGGTTAATTTTTTTTTTTTCAGTTATGTTTAAATGTGTGGGTGTAATTGTGCCTTCTTCCTCTTCTTCGTCTTCTTCCTCCTCGTCCTCCTCCTCCTCAGGACCTCGGATCGCTTCCTTGATGATCATCACGGTGCCGTCCTCAGTGACGACCTCCTTGATGACCTCCGTCGGTCCTTGAGGTTCTGCCTCTTCCTCTTTATTCCTTTCATCTTCCTCGCCCTCGGCTCCCCCCTTCCTCCCTTTCCTCCGTTTCTTCTTCTCTGTTTTGGTTCCCTGAACACAAACACAAATCGACGTGTAAAAACCAAATAAGACGTATTTAACGAGGTTCGTACGTGTTCAGTTTTTACCCTGAGCACCCCGGGGAACCAGCGGTTCTTCGCCGTGTCGTACAGGAAGAGGTCATTGTAGAAGTCCCCCTCCAGCGTCTCCTCATCTTCCTCATCACAGACCCCACCAAACAGCACCGCCCGGCCTGCCGGACCCACGGCCAGAGAGAACCCGGAGCGAGGAGGGGGCTTATTACCAGACGGGTTCAGTCTGGACCACGACCACCTCTCTGCAGGACGAGTCATGAATCAGCAGCTTCATCGTGTTTTACTGCGTATAGATTCTCTTCTCTTTGTATGGACCCTTCATATACCAAAACATTCGGCTCATTCAGGAGGTGGGTGCTGTGACTGTTGGTGCTTGTATTTTTTTTTTTAATACTTACAAATATATAAACAGAATTCACCACAGAAATACATCAAGATCTTTTTAGCTCCTTCCAAAACACTGTTCAGTTCCAAATCTGCTTCTGCATACTGGTTCCGCTTTTGTCTTTTCATGCTAATTTTAGCATTTTAGCTACCATTCTGCTAATGTTATGCTATATTTAGTTTTGCTACTTTCTTTTAGATGCAGTGTTGCTACTATTAGCTCATGTCTTGTTAATTTGACGCACTGTATCAACTGTAACATTTGTTTTGCTAATTTTAGCTACTGTTTTTCCAGATTTAATCAATGTCAGTTTCATTTATTTTGCACATTTGAAAACAACGTTGACCAAAGTGCGTCCCAAGGAGCTTCCGTTCTGCTTGTTTTAACTTTACCAACTCAGTTCAAATTCCAACAGTCACTCTGCTCTCAGCATTTTTCAAGAAATCGTTACTTTTCCTCTCATCTGACGAATAACGTTACAGGAAGATGATTGTGTACCTTGGCCATCTTTGCCGTCTCTCTTCAGGAGGAACATGTCCGTGTGGATGGTGCCCTTCTCCACGTCCTTCTTCACTCGCTGAACAAATCAACAGTCACACGTCACCGAAGTAAAATCTCAACACCAGACGGACTCAGGCGGGACACGAACCACTTTAGAGTATCCTCCATAGATGATGACGCCTGTGCCGTCAGGTGTGGAAGTCATCTGACAGGCAGAACGTGGGCAAGGGGCGGAGCCTGACGGAGCGAGGCGCGACCAGGAGAACGAGTCCAGAGAGAAGGCGTAGATGTCGTTGTAGTAGATAAAATCCCTGCAGAGGGAGGAGGAAGGGTTGACTCTGGGCTCAGAGCAGGAAACAGGAGCTGACGTTTACAGGAAATGAGGAATCACAGTGAAAACGTGAAGCCAACCTGAGTTCAGCTTTCTGTTAAACTTTAATTTACAGAGCTGAATTCAACTTTATTTAGCTTAGCTTTATTTAGTTTTAGTAAAACTTCCCAACAAGCTCAAATTAAAACACTTTTTTAATTCTGATGCTCTTTGAGCTCGGTGTAACTCAGTAAATGAGCAAAACGTTGCAGTAATAATGTAATAATGACTCCTGACTGAAAGGTTTCAGTGAGACTCTGTTTACCTCGTGCTCTCATGGAAACCTCCAAACACCAGCAGCTGCCGCTTGCTGAGGACCATCCGGTGCCCGCTGCGGCCTGACGGACCACCGGGCACTCTGAGAAAACACAAACACGTCATCAAAGCTCGAATAAACACATTTTATTTACTTTTACATTTTTATCCCCCACATTCACAGACATTTAAATCAAATTCACCGCATGTGTCGTTGTTGTCATGCATTACTGCTTCCGTTTACATGGCTCTTACTTGATGTTTTCCCACGTGTGTGTAGCCAGGTGCAGCACCCAAAGGTCCTTGTAGTGGTAGAACTGCTCCCCGTTTGGAGAGGCAAACTCCCCCCCGAACACCCAGAGCTGGCCTCCACCCTGAGGGACCACCACCGCCTGGAGGGAGGGATGAAGGGGGAAACAGAGCAAAGGAGGAGGGGAGCTGAGGGTTCAAGGTTTTTTTTTTCCTCCTCTTGCAACAGACATCAGCTGTGAGAACGCTGCTGCCCCCTTATGGCTCAAATATGACGTTTACCACAGAAGTGATCAACCACCTAAACCTGATCTGTGATCAGAGAGCAGTGTCCAATCATAAGGTTCAAAGACGACCTGAAGCAGAGAGGTGGTACCTGGTGAGAGCAGCGAGGAGGAGGAGGGTTGGGAATCTCCAGTTTAACCCAACTGTTCTTCTTAATGTTGTAGAAAAATAAATCATTGTAGAGATATGTCTGAAAAAAGACAAGCATTTAAAATTACTCTTACTTGAAACTGCTGTAAAATCAGCAGCACGATACATTAATAACGGGAACAGCGCTGTGATGGTTTGTTGTTTCAGTAAAAGTCAGTGTTTAAAAACTCAAACAAAACATGTAAAACATCAGGAAGTGCATTCTAATCAGACTAGATACCCGTTACAATAAAAAAAAGACTATAATTAATGCTAACGTTGTGCGTAAGAGTGAAAACGAATACGTTGAGGGTACCTTGGCCATCAGAAAAGTGTACAAGTAGTAAATATTTGATCACAGACAGCAGAAATATTAAAGTCAAACACAACAAAAAGCTGAAAGACAGAATGAACAAACATTAAATGATCAAGTCACTGTTTGTTTATTACTCTTTGTAACAGCCTAGAAAATTTGCTTTCACCTAAAAATACCTATTTTTACATATACATGTGTAAAAATAGGTATTTTTATCCATTCAGTTTTTAAATGAATTTTAGACACATTAGGTACAAGAAATGAACTGACAAGAAGGAAACAGCAGCAGGCAGCAACCTAATACATAAACAAAATAGTATACATATTTATACCTTCTTTCCATTAAAATATTCTCCTCCAAACATTATGAGTTCATCTTTCTCGGGATGAGCAGAAAATGACGCGTTCAGCCTAAAACAAGACAAAACATTGCAATAAGTTTCTAATTTACTCGTTTCTGGTGGTTTATTCTTTGATGCCATTCACACTGAATGTGATTTTGTGATTTGTTTAGTGCAGTGGTCTGCAACCTTTACGATCAAAAGAGCCATTTCTGCCCCTTTGTTCACTAAATTAAACGTGTCCGGAGCCACAATACCTTCTACAACTGGGATTCTCAACTGGTGGCCCACAGACCACTTTATGTTTGTTGGAGGGCACTTTTCTGGACAGTAGAGGTGATTTTATAAAACTAAAAATATCTAATGAAATTTAACATTTATTGATATTTTTACATTCTAAGACAAAATAAACGACAAGATTCTTGTAAAAGAAAAAAAATATAGTTTTTGCCCAGTTTCTAAAAACTAAAACAATAAACTATGCATTCTTATGTGATTTTTTTATTGTAGAAAAATTAAGTATCCTACTTTGAAGAAATAAAGCATAAAGTGAAAGAGAGTATGTTTTACTTCATGTAATATTTCTAGCATTCATATATTTGCAAGATAAATTACAGGAAAGCTGCTAAAACTAGCCCTTTTAATTGTTATAACAACCAATAAAATTCAGTTTTATGTCAGTTTTGGTCAAAGCTTGAAAGAACCGTTGCAGAGGGACCAAAGAGCCGCAGGTTGCAGACCCCTGGTTTAGTGCTACAAATCCATCAGGGTTAAAGAGTCTGACCTCGGTGATGGGGGGCAGCTCGTCTCCACGACCTGCGTCTTCTTCGCATCCAGAGTCTGAAACTCGGCGATCAGAGCCTCCAGATCCTCCTGGAGACAAAAAAATAATTAAATAAAAACAGGCTGAAAGACTCAAACGAAGGATAAATATTTTAAATAATCCTAGAAGTATTAAAGTGTCATCTAAATCGGAGGTAGATGTTACCTCTTCTCTTTTGGACCTCTTTGAGACTTTTTTCTCCATTTTGGCCGCCGTTTTCTCCGCTCCCTTTACCTTCTTCTCTTTCTTTCCTTTTTTCCCCATCTCCGCTTTAATTCACGAATGGCTGCTTAAAAATTAAAGTTTTCTTAAAATTAATTTTGTATCTCATAAAAGCTCAAACAATCCTCACACGTTATACTTGTTTCCCCGACAAGCGAGGATTTACTTCCGGCAACAAACGCATCAGGCAGACAGCAGTGCCCCCTAACGGACAGGAGGACAACAGCGCCCCCTAACGGACAGGAAGACAACAG